GGACCCAAATAACATAATGACTGTGAAAAGCAGCAGGATTTCTGTCCACTAAGGAGAGATGGCTGGAGATGCAGAGAGCCTCTTAAGGGGCCAATGCACAAAATTCTGTTTGCAGCCACTTACCCTGGGCTCCAGCAGAGGAAGGCCACAGAGGGCTAGAGATGTGTGAAGAGAGACTGGGACTGGTGGCACTGGGGAAAGAACTGAAAAATCAGCTACCGTATTGCAGGAACCATCCTTTTCAGGCAGAGCACTCCTTTCCTAATGGCATCAGCCTGAGGGGAAGCAATAGCCCTACCTGTAGGAATTACTCCTCCCCACTCTGTGGAGTTTAAACCCTGCTGCTGAGAAGTACAGCTGGAAGACTTTTACTGTTTAAGCCTAACAGAAAACCTGCAACAGAGGTGGGTATCAGAGAGCTCTGAGAGGTTAGTTGACCCTCCCCCAGGCCTGCTGCTGGTTAAAGCCAGTCTTGGTGAGCAGCCTGTTTGTTTTTTTTTTTTTCTACTCATACCTACGCCCAGCAAAGAAAACTTAATGCTATGGATTGCTGATACATCCAAACAGGTTGCCAGGGCCTGTCACAGGCAGGGTTTGACATAGGTCTACGCCAGGGTCTTTGCAGATCTACCTAATAATAGAAACAAACACAAAGAGGAAGCCAAAATGGGAGACAAAAAGCCTCCAAATGAAAGAACAAGAGAATTCTCCAGAAGAAGAACTAGATGAAATGGAGGCAAGCAATCTATCAGAGAGCTTTGAGTAATGATTATAAGGTATTTAACAGCATGAAAAAAGACACAGAAAATATTAAAAAAGGCCCATCATAAATAAAGAATGCAATATCTGAAATAAATAATACACTGTTAGAAGTAAACAGTAGGTTAAATGAAGCAGGGGATTGAATCAGTGATTAGAAAGACAAGGTAGGAAAAAAAAAACACCCAAGAAAAGCAGCAAAAAGAAAAGAGAATTTTTAAAAAATGAGGAGAGCTCAAGAAACCTTTGGGACAACAGGAAACATAACAACAAATGCATCATGGGAGTACTAGAAGGAGAAGAGAGTAAGCAAAGGATCAAGACATTATTTGAAGAAACAATGACTGAAAACCTCCCTAAACTGATGAAGAAAGAAGATGCACAAGTCTGAGAAGCTCAGAAAGGCCCAAACAAGAGGGACCCAAAGAGGCCTACACCAAGACACTTCATAATTAAAATGACAAGGCTTAAAACAAGGAGAGAATACTAAAAGCCACAAGAGAAAAGCAGTAGTTATATATAAGGGAGCACCAATTAGACTGTCATCTGATTTCTCAACAGAAGCATTTCAAGCCAGAAGGAAGTAGCATGAAATATTCAGGGTGATGAAAAGCAAGGACTTACAACTAAGGCTTCTTTAAACCCACCAAGGCTATCATTTAAAATCGAAGGAGAAATAAGGAGCTTCTAAGACAAGAAAAAGCTAAAGGAGTTTGTTAACACCAAAGCCATACTGCAACAAATGTTAAAGGGCTTGCATTAAGAAAAAGAAAAGGAAAAAGGGAAAAACAGAGGAAGATTCTAACAGTAAAAAGCATTAAATACGTATCTATCAATAATCACCTTAAATATAAATGGTTTAAACGCTCCAACCAAAAGACATAAGGTAGCTGAATGGATAAGAAAACGTGACCCATATACATGCTGCCTCCAAGACAACTGCCTCATTTGCAGCTAGGAAAGGATATAGACCATTAAATTTTAAAGACTTGTCCCCAAGGAAGATCTTTAAATGAAAGATCTAAAATGCTATTTTTAGAACAGATGGAAGAGTAGCTACCCTGATAGTGTTAATAGAAATCCTATTGTGACTCTTGCCTTCCCCACAGATTCTATGGCCTCTTTGTGGAATTCTTAGAATCACTGTAAGCAGAACAAAAAAAAAATCAAAAAACCAAAAAAAAACCCCACATATATCTGCAAAACAAACTAGGCCAAAAAGTTTGATGAGAAAATAATTTTTAAAAGATTTTCCCAGTTGTCTTGGTGCTTCAGCATTGAGTATTTGTTGATAAAACAATACTGGAGAGGATTTAACAGTACATCCCAGCATAGGCTTATGGTTCTTACAGAAAATTTACTTTTTTGAGTCTATTATTAAATTGAAAATTCCTTATAATGTTATAAATGGTATAACGAAGAAAATGTGGACCTTGGTGTCACACATGAGTTCTCATCCTAACATGTACTAGCTCTGCAACTGCAGGCAAGTTATTTCTATTTAATAATTATCAGTTCATTCCTTCATTCATAGCAAATATTTACTGGAGTGCTTTGTATATAAAGATCAAGAAGACAGAAATGATACTACCTTACAGTACAGAGGTGGGACCAGATGATAAATAATTATAATACTTTTTAGATTATGATTATTATAATATCTTCAACAAAGCATAATGTCTGTAAAAATGAAGAACAGGGAGGTTCAGCCCTGGATATTCAGGGAAACTAAGTAGAGTTCAGGGTTTTTTTTTAGTTCCTTTTTTAAAATCTCAACTTAATCTTTTAAAAAACTTATCAAAAGTAGAAGAAATAATATATTAGACTTTTATGTACCCATCACGCAGCTGCAACAATTTTTGATAGCTCTAGATGAATCAGTGTGACATAGGGAGTCAGGAGACCTTGATGTCCTGGGTACATATGGCAACTAGAGGGAAGGCTAATATGAAAAGCATAAACATCACTAAAATGTTTGTGTGGAAAATAGGTTGTATGTGTGTCTTGCTTGGGGGGCAAGGGTGTATTAGGGGATACTGGGTAGGAGGCTACTGAGTAGTTTGGGCAAAAGAAATTAGTGGCATGGAATGCAGTAGTGGTAGTGGAAAAGATTTATACATGGGATGATAAGGGAGATAAAAATATTTATAAAAATTCTCAGGTTTCAGCATGAGCTACTGGGTGGATGTCACTGACACTACAGAGATGGAGAATTCTAAAAAGCAGCTATTCTGGAAAGAGAAAAATTTAGGTTAAAGATCCACTCTGACAGGTAGTCATGGGGTCATAGCTGGAACACCATTTAGAGGCCTAGTTGCACATATAAAATTGAGATCCAAGGTAGAGACACAGTAAGATGGTCAATCTGTGTCAAAAAGGCTAACTGAGGCAACAATAGCAAATCTCTCTTTTTTGGGTAGTCTTAGTAAGAAGCCCAATATTCTAAATTCTAAACTAGAACTAGAATCTCTTTTATCTTCTTCTAAGTGTTAACAGTAATAGTATTAGCAATAATGTCTACCTTAAGCTAATATGTTTTCCTTTTATTTTTTCCCTATTACAGAGTGGACATTTTATTATTTACTAAACATTTGTGGCTTTAGGCACTGGAACTCAAACACATGATGGTGAAAAGAATAGGAATTTGGGAGGAGAGAAAGACTGAAAATGAACAAATTGCAAAACAATATTCTTATAGAGGCACAAAAAAGTGCTTTTGAAGCATAAGACCAAACTCCACTTCTGCTATATTATGAAGAATCCTTTCCTGATCCTTTTTCAACTTGTTTAAATCATTGTTTTAGTTTTTTCTACAATAGACACTTTATACAGAATACTTCTCTTAGAATTTGTAACCTAATTCTGTTTCTATTCAGCATCAAATCCTCTTCCCATTGTATATTGTTTTAAATCTATTTCTCAAAGTGATGAGACATTTAAGTATACTCATTTGTGGAGTCTAAGGAATGGTGGCTACCCTTAGTTCTCAGAGTTATCAGACCAGCTGCAAAAATCGTCATCTGGGAACTTGTCAGAAATACAATTTCTCTGGTTCCACCCCAGACCTACAGAGTCCTAAATCCAGTCATAAAACAAATCCTCTTTGTGGTTTTGATGTCTCTTAAATTTAAGAATTTTTTTTCTGGATACTTACTCCCCCCACCCATCCATAGATGGTAATTAACTGTCCTTTCTCTGGTTATTAACAGCTACAACCATTTGACAAGGAGAGAATTCTAAGAAGCTCTACATTAAATTACAACAGCCAGGAAAGGAGAGAGAGAACTGTTCGTTAATGGCTGCTGGCCAGCTAACAAAAGACTGCTCACATTCCTTCCGTTTGTTGAAATTTCAAATTAATTTGCAGGTGGCTATTTTCGAAGATTATTTTAGCCAGGCACCATCGAACACCAGGAGCCTGTGCTTCTTGTTTACACATGGGCTTTCCTAACTGCTGTCCACTGCCTTTCCACAAGAGTGAACATCTCTTTTGGCGGGTTCTGTGCGGGTAAACGGACCTGACCTGGCTTCACTTTCTCCCACTCCTTTGACACATTAGGACCAATGGTCCTATAGCCAATGTAAATTCTTTCAGACAACTTGCGTCTTTCTACCCGCTTCACCCACTTGATTTATAAAAATGTTTGCGAACTCCTAGACAATGGACATACTGTCTTTCATGTTCTTTAATATTGTCTTTTTGCTTGGGGTTTTTGGCTCAATAAAACCCTTCTTAAAGACTTGAAGCCGCGGGGGGTCAAATTTTTTGTTTAACACATTCCTTAAGTATTCATTATTAAATTCGTAGCCTACTTCGGGTTTTCATTTTATTTTTATTTAACGTCAATTGATGCCTGACAAAACAGACAATATATGATCTTTACTTGAAAAACAACAGTTGGAGGCTGACCCCTGGGTAAGGCCCCAGCCCAGCAATTCTCTTACTAAAAGTCCGCCGGCTAACAGTGAGGCCAGCTCAGAGAGTGCTCTGCAGGATCCCAAGGCCCCCAGCAAGGAAGCTGGACCCGCCCAATTCCTCGCTGGAGGGCTCCTTCCCGCCCAGGTTCACAACCTCGCTTGAGTAACCGCCCATTTCTGCTCAGAAAATACCGAACCACAGAGAAGCCCGCCCTACGCTAGGATGCCCTCCAATCGTAGCGCGCGCTGAGACGCACAGCTCTGGGAGGCCGGTGAGTACAGAGAAGCCCCGCCTCTCTCCTGTTAGTCCGCCAATTGCCGCTTGCGGTGGGGCGCGCCTTGGGAGGCAAGCGTCCTGGGGGAGGTCCAGCCCACAAGAGCTGGGAACTTGGAAATGCAGGGTGGCGGTAACTTTCGTGGCGCAAAGGTGAGCTGAAGTCGGGAGCCCGCGCTGCTTCGTGGGCCAGCGCGCCCTGCTTGGTCTTCCACCCCACCCGCTTGCCCGCGGGGCCCAGGTGGCTGGACCCGGCCTGCTAGGGACGAAAGATGGGTGCTGTGTTTGTGGGGGTCCCTGGCAAAGCTGCGGCCAGTTGCGTCTGTGAGCGTGTACTGGGTCTGTGCTGCTGAGTGCGGCTCTAAAGGTCGCTCTCCTGCCCAGGTGTGCTGACTGAGGGAGTCATGCCTTCCCGGTAGGATGCGGAGGTCAGGGAGAGGAGCCTGCTGGAGCTGAGGAGGGAAGAACCATTTCCCTGGAAAAGGCATGGGGTTGCAGCGATAAGGGTGACAGAAGTGAGGCACTGGATGTGAATGGGAGTTCGATCTGGAACAAGCGTGTATTTACCCTCGCTGGTTTCGGGTTGTTCTTTGTTTTCTTTTTGACTCTCGTGTAATACACCAAGACAGCGGTGGGTATTGGGATGGCTCTGCTGTCGTACCCCCCACCCCCGCAAATACCTGTTGCCAAACTTTCTATTCTCCCCTAAAGTTTTTCCGAATCTTTCTCTTCGTGTTTAAGTGAGGAAAGTCTGAAGTTAATTGCTGCCAGTCGGTTATACCAACATCTGCCACTGTGGTCATGGAGTACGTGTGTAGAAAATATTGTACGAATGATATTTAAAATATTATACCTGCACACCTTTTCCCCTCGTGAATTGTGTTTCTCCTGGCATGTGTCCTGTACCCTTTTAAAGGTATTTATAAGTTTTTTCCTTATAAATATGCTTGTCTCATAGTACTAAAACAAAAACTTTAAAAAGCAAATACAGTGCCTGCTTTCTTGACTCATCTTCCTTTTACCAAAAGAACCTTCCTGAAAAAATAGTCCACATATACTGATTCAACTTCCTTGTCACTACCAGTGACTGATTTTTGTAACTGATTTTAGGGAGTAAATGAAACCTATGTCAAACCTACTTATCCATTTCTTTTTTTTTTTATTTTTTTAAAGATTTTATTTATTTATTTTTAGAGAGGGAAGGGAGGGAGAGAGAGAGAGAGAGAGAGAGAAACATCAATGTGTGGTTGCTGGGGGTTATGGCCTGCAACCCAGGAATGTACCCTGGCTGGGAATCGAACCTGGGACACTTTGGTTCCCAGCCCGCGCTCAATCCACTGAGCTACGCTAGCCAGGGCCCATTTCTTTTTTAAAATAATAAAATGGTCTATCACTTGTTTTTTATTTTTTTAAGACTTTATTTATTTTTAGAGGGGAAGGGAAGGACAGAGAGTAATATCAATGTGTGATTGCCTCTTGCACGCCCCCTTCTGGGGACCTGGCCTGCAATCCAGGCATATGTCCTGATTGAGAATTGAACTGGCAACCCTTTGGTTCTCAGCTGGCGCTCAGTCCACTAAGCTACACCAGCCAGGGCTGATTCTGATTTTGATAAGATATTCTAATTTCAAAAATAGTAATGTATGGGGAAAATCAAGGGACTAATATGAAATTGTTAAATCTAGCATAAGTTATTTACTTGGTCACTCCAGCATTTGACACATGTGCCACCTGCTTTTATTTATTTGTTTATTTTGGACCACCCTAAATGTTAGTGTACTGATTCTCTTCCTGCCTTGCAGCTGCTCATTTACTACTCTTTACTTTCTTCCTGTCATGTTCTAATTATTGACTGTGTGTTTTTTCTCACTTACCAAGTTTGTCCTAGGCAATCTCATACATTGATGTTAGCTATCATTGCTGCATAGATGTCTTTGGGATCTGTATTTGACCTTTTCCTGTGAGATCAGTTTAATTTCAGTTATCATTAAGTCATTCTTTCATCCTTAGTACACTAGGCCCTAACAGTTCCTTCTGTGTCTTGTTGATTCAGCGTATTGACAGTGATAGTTTGGGCTCAGAATGCCTAAGGTACTTGCCTAGGCCCATATTACTTGTGGCAGACCCCCCATTAGAGGCATTGTTGTGGCTGGACCGGACCTTGTGGTTCTTATGACTGTGGGATACATTTTAGCAAAAACCATCAGTGGCCCTCGAGTACACAGGATACTCTGTGTACTCGAGGGCCACACAGCGAGGTTGGTGACTCGAGAGGTGGAGGAGAGCAATCAGACCTGGGGTCTGTCTTTATTAGGGTCCCAGGGTGGGATGCCTAGAGTTCACTCTTTATTGGCTAAGCATAAAGAGAGGGAATTAGGGGACCAGAAGGGATAAGTGGGGTCACTCAGATGGTTAGTTATCTATATCAGTCAGGACTTTCTGAAAGAGGGACCCTCGTGGGTGGGATGACCTAATTCCTTATCTTGTTTTGCAAGTAGCTGTGTCCTATAGCTGGCCATATGTTTATTCAAATGGATGTCTTCTGAGATGGATGCCTTGGCAATCAAATCTTAATGTCAGGTACTTAAACTGCAATCAAACAACTTACTGCTAGGTACTTACTTTAGACCCTGACTTAAAATCTTAATGTTTTGACTTGATACTCAATCTGCCCTCTTTATCAGTTTTGAAGATAACAATTTTTCAGTAGTCTTATTAGTTATCTATTGCTGTATTGGATTGTCTCAAAACTGAAGCAGTTTAAAACAAATGTTATTTTCTTATACAATTTCTGAGTGTCAGGAATCTGGCAATGGCTCAATTAGGTGATTCTAGTTCAGAGTCTCCCACAAGTTTCAGTCAAATTAAGGGTCACTGAGACTAGAGGATTCACTTCCAGGCTCATCCATGTGCTTGTTGGTAGGTGTCAGCTCCTTGTCACTTTCATAGGGCAGCTTACAACAAGGCACCCAGCTTTCCCAAGAGCAAGAAAGAAGCCCTGGTATTTTTTTATAACAATCTCAGAAGTGACATAACAGCTCTTCTGTCCTAATCTATGCATCACATAATTCAACCTGGTTGTGAGAGAGGAGTATAGAGGGTGTGAATGCCAGGAGGTGGGGATCATAGGGAGCCATCTGGGAGGCTGGCTACTACAATAGTTTTGCCCCCCTATTTTTTTCTAATTTCTGTCACCCTAGGTCAGGCCTAAAGTATTTCATGCTTGGAGTGTTTCTGTGGTACTAGGTAGCATGCTCCCTCCCATTCCATTTTCTGAAATGGCCTTCCCTTAGGGGGCAGTTTAATTATATTGTTACTCCTCTGCTTAAGCATCATTTTACTTATTATTGTTTACATAATAACTTACTTTGGACTTACCCTGTACTAAGTGCTCTATTAACTTAATTCTTTCACCAATCCTATGAAATAAGTACTATTATTAGTCTCATCTTATGGATGAGGAAACTGAGGCACAACAGAGAAATTAAGTAATTTGCCCAAGGTCACATAAGCAATTAAGTGAAGAAGCCAGGATTTATTCCCAGATAATCAGCTACAGATTTTGCTTTTGTTCAGGCTCTCATCACTTGTTATTTACAGCTTCCATAATGTGGCCATGTCTTATTCCTTAACTTTTCAACTTTGTTTATTATTTATCTTCTAGGTAAAATAAACTACTGTTTTCACTGTATTGTACTGTTGGAAACCACCCTGGTTGGTTTCAGAAGCTGTAACCCCCCATGGCTAAGGCTGAGTAGAAAGGCCTTAAGCTGCTAAGGAGACAAAAACTTATCCCCTTTCTCATATCCCCCTGCTTGGCCCGGGTGGATGACTGGTTAGCCAGTGACAGGTAAGATTCCTTGAGGGAGGAACAACCTAAGACAGGCACAGTCGTGAAGGGACCATCAGGGAAGGACTTAGGGGACTATAGAATAGGGGTAATGGACCTTCACCCCTTGGCTTTGTTATAGCTTGAGTCCTCATTCCACTACAGGAAGTTTCCTACTGTCTTGGCTACTTTGTTTCCCTGGCCTGACTCAAGCCTGAAAGAATGCCAGGTAAGGGGAGTGCAGCCCTATACTATTTCAGGCAGTTCCCCGGGGCAGTCAGGCCTGAAAAAGAATGCATGAAGTTCTGTGAATCCTACTTTGCTAAGAATACCTTTAGGTTAATTTGTGTTAGCTGTTTAGACTTCAAGCATAAAATGAGTTTGTTTCCCAAAGTTTTATGGCCCTTTGGTGTCACTCTATCTATCAGACTCTGACTCAGAATAAGCCCTTTTTGTTCTTTGAGTGTTATCTATCAACCATATCTCCTGTCCTTGAACATTATTACCTGACATTGATTGATGAACTTTATGGGTATACACTCTGTATTCCTATGCAATCAAAACCTAATAAAAGCTCAGGGAAAGAGGTGCTCAAGGCTCTTCTCTAAGACATTAGTCAACCTTTTCGTCCCAAGCAGATCTTGTCTTGGTAGTCTCATTTCATCTGCAACGCAGGGAGACACTGTGGGACAGAGTCTCCCTTATTGTACTTTCTTGTCTCTTGGTATTTGCTCATGCTCTTGGTTTGGAGTAATGCCATTTCTTCCATTTTTGCTCATTGAAAACTTAGTCATCTGTCAAGGTCCATCACAATTCCTCCTTTTCCCTAATCATCCCAGTTGTAAATGAACTTTCTGTATTCCTTTGTATTATTATTATAACTTCAAGTTTTGTATTACGTTTACTTGTACCTATGCTTTTATTCCCCTATAATGTGGACATTGTAAGATTAGGGACTTTCACCTGCCTTGATCCCTTGTACATTATTAGATAATGTAATTAATATCTGATGAATGAGTGAAAGGAGAACTAGTTTAGAAGCTTTGCAGGTATTTTAGGTATGGAGAAACATGGGGAAATACCTTGGTCAGAAGACTTCGGCACCAACCTCCGCTCTACAACTAAGCTAATTTTGCAATTTTGGATAAGTTTCATAGACCTTTCAGGATTCTTAAGACAAAGGTTGATATGGTCATGGACTAAAGTTGTAGAATTGGGAATAGTATTGGGAAAGGACTGAGTTGTAAGTTTATAAAAGGAAGATGAGATTTAGGTACCTGACATTGAAGGATAAAGAGGGGACAATCAGCATTGACTCAAAGGT